GAGAGAGAGAGAGAGAGAGAGAGAGAGAGAGAGAGAGAGAGAACGGGCGGTGAATTCCTTATCAAGAGTTCGGGCGTTATCTAACGTTGTTCCGACGATAATTCCCTACAAAAATCTCGGCACTAAATTAATGCCAGATTAACGGGGTGCCGCTATCACGGAGGAGAAAAGCATCCCTCCCCTCAAGATAGCATTGCTATTAAGCTCCTTATATCGATAGCCGCCGCATGCCAACGACATTCTCCGTTGAATCACGGATAGATCTTACTCGTTCGCGCGCTCGCGCGTATCGCAGACGTTGCATTTATAGTCGCGATCCGCGTAATCTATGCCGCAGCGCGCTGCCTACGCCTTGGAATTCCACGCTCGTCGTGATGCCAGATGGGCGGGCATGTTCTCTCTCTCTCTCTTTCTTTCTCTCTCTCTCTCTCTCTCTCTCTCTCTCTCTCGCGAGGAGATTTTTATACAATACGTCACTCGAATTAGAGCTCTCTCTGTCGTGTTGTGTGCGGCCGGTGGTCGCGACGCGGCGCCATGTGTGCGCGCTGCTTAACTTCACGGAATATGTATTCGCGCGCGCGGGTATGTACGCGTATATATCCATGCCGTACACCGTGCACCGCCGGGTCTCGCGCCGTGACTCGCCGCGCCCGCATTCCATCCGCCAGGGCCGCGCTCCTTGAGAAAAACGCGAGAAATCTGGCGATCAGGCTCGGCTTCGCTTCTCGTCCCGGTCGACGCCGGGCGACCGCGCGAAAATCAAAACGGCGCGCGGCGGCCACTTCTTTTTTTCTCTCATTCACGCATTACTTCAGTACTTCTTAATGGACGAAAATTCAAATTCGACATGCATCGACTGAGAATAACGTGCATCTTGGATGCACATCGAGACGGAAAATATTCCTGTGATCATGATTAAGACTTTTTTACGTACTTTCAATAACTGAATTCGTTCAGATATACGGCAAAATCAAATATTTTTTTAGCGGGGAAAAGGGGATACATTTCAGTATGGTTTAATATCTTTTCTTTTGAGTAAATAGACATTTCTTGGATTAGTTCCGGTAATATCACAAGTGAAATTCAGATATCAAATATAATTCAATTATTTTAAAGTCATCAGTCGATAGAAAGTGAACATGTACTTATTTAAAAGCCTTCATTATTCATAATTTTATATTTTTATTTCTGCCATGACTCGAGAGAATTCATATCCCAACTTTCAGTACTTACTTAAATAGAAAAAAATATTCTTTCATTTTATGTGTGACGCTTGAAGTGTTATTAAGTTTTTTTGAAATTGTTACATTACCAGAATCCTGCTGAGAGAACCAAATCAATTTGACTTATGACTTATCCACGCCGTATAGGTGAATCATGTTACATTGGCACACATTTTATTTCTTAAGAAACTCGGGCTTCAATAATTTTCAAAGTATTTTACGATTATGTTTCATTTTATAAATAAAATATCAAACAAACTGAATAGAAAGTGAAGCGTAGGCTATTCATATTGTCATTTTATGAGACATTA